GGCATCGTCGCTCAGCTCGTGAGGCAAATGTGTCAGGGCAAAAGTCCGGGCAAAAGCTTGAGCTTCCTTTGCAGCAGATTTGACTTTTTGGCGCAGCCCCTCTCCTGCTGACCCCTTGGACCCTAAAAAACCGGTCCTTGGAGCCGAGTAAACGTGAGCTTCCTGCTGCCAGGCTGGCCGGAAGAATCAACTGGTCCTGCCCAGAAAGCGCTGAGCTAGCCGTGATCTCGGCGGCAACTAGGCCTGCCTGGAGCTACGGTACACCGGCTTGCCAAGTGCGAAACCACCAAAGCATCCAAGCGCCAAGGCAGCAAGTTCTCAAACCCACAAATCCTCTCACCCTGAGTCCGTACTCAGTTCCTAGGCTCGCATGGCAACAGGGTCCAGCAAATGTTCATCCAGGGCTGCCCCAGTTTTGAGCTGCGCCTTGAGCGGCGCCAACCTTCGCAAATGAAGGGCTGTGATCTGTTACCAACCACCTCCGGCATTTTCGCAATGTCTGGACACAGCCCTGAAACCATGGCATGAGCGACCAGTTTCGAATCTTCCGCGCTCTGACTACTTTCTACACCACTGCGGATCTAGGTAGCGGGTGTCACAGCCAGGGTGGATAAGCAGACTTCGTAAAACTCAGAGAGTCCGTCTGGGACACCGGCGCTTTCTCTGCTGCAGCTCCCCACACGTCGTAGAGGGATCCTCGCCCCTGCGGTTCGAACATCACACAGCTGCTGCCCGGACACCGCTCGGCTTTGCTACGTGCTGCAGCAGTCTCCCCAAAGCCTTCGGCCCATCAAGCGGCCCGCCGGAAGCGTGGAAAACACCTCCTCCAGACATCTCCACCTTAGCGGTTCAAGACACAAGACGGAGCAGGTCTGCGGTCAGTCTGCTGCGCACCTGGGTGTGTCTTGGAAGGGCAGGGTACGCTCGCAAGAACAGCACATTGCACCGGGCTTCACACACTACGCATGGCATGCAGTTTATCAGAGCTCGGCTCACGGCCAGAATGTCACAGGCTGCCTTGAACACCTGGAATTTGGAATGTCCGATTGTCCAAGATTATGTTCCTCTCCCTGAAAGCCGCATCGGGACTCCGGAGACCCTCGGGACCTTCTGGCCCTCCGGCATCTGCTCGGCCTCGCAGCGCACCTGCACCTGTCCACAACCACACTGCAAGAAAGAACATACGATGAGCTGAACTCATGTGCTTCCTGCATCTTCTTGCAATGAGGGGTACAGTGCGTTTTAAGATGCCCTACTTCTGATATACGAGGCTGATGGCCATTCCTGTTTCAATCTTGGGCTAGGGACAAATTCGACAAAAAAATAAACAAACTCAGAAAACTCTAACCCCCAAACCCTGAAGCCTAAACCCCTAAACCCTAACTAAACGTCCTTCCCGCTCTCAGAATCGGTTGTCTGGATCCCTCGACTGGTTGGGAGGCTTCGGAAGTCCAAAATTTATGTACGGCCATCAGGAGCTTACATATATATATATATATACTCACACACCCATAATGTCATATGTGTTTATTTATACATACCGACGCCAGTCCATGTGTGCTCTGCAACTGCAACGACACGGCTGTTGTGTGCCCCAGCCTAGGGTCACAGAAGGACCAGCGATTACAGTAGCTGCATGTACTTGCATCTCTCGGCACCTCCCGGGAACCGAAGCCGACTAGAGCTCCACACACTGCATCGTATCCTAAAGCTTGCAGGTTGGAATCGCAAAAAAACGCTTCACTGAGAATGCGCGTTTGGGTTTGCGAGTGGGCGACGCAGCCTTGGGCTTGGGAGCACCTTTGTCAGCCAGCTCCTGCGCAGAAGTAGCAGCAGCATGCAGCAGCGAATTCTGGTGTGTGTCTGCACTCAGCCGGACTGCTTTCTACGAGACGCTTCATCACTATGTGGTGTCGCATGGTGTCGCCAACTTATGGAAATCAACATTCAGATGCTCCTCCAGTAGCCATGGCTCGAAATCCTCCTCCGTCCTTCAGTCTTGCCGCGGGCTTCTGCAAGTGATCGCATCGCGTGTGTTTGCTGACATCTGCAGCCGTCCTGGCCACATCCTCCTCGTCCAACCAACCGCTGGGCGGCGTTGCGTAGCAGACGGCCTCGACCGATGCCCCGGTCTTTCAGTTGGCTCGAGAAGAAGTCTTAGACACGTTGTTGTTGGTAGCACTGGAGAACTCACCAGAGGTGTTCGATTGACGTCGGCTTCCGTCCAGAGCACCTACTTAGGTGTAAAGAAGAGCGCACCTCAATCTTCGTGACATGACCACGCTTGTCTATCACGATGGGCTTCAGGGAGCCTGCAAGCTGCGAGGTAAGGGAGCATTTTTGCATGTGCAGACACTGCTTTGAGTCCAGATACGTGTTTGCAGTTGTCATGTCCCATCCAGCATTTGGACAGGGCCACACAAAGACATGCCTAAGTTTGCACGGTGCCTGCCAAACCATCAACGTATAGGTTCACCAGGCCACCTGTCCCAAAAAGGTCTGTCAAGCAGAGCTGCAGGATCCTCGCAACCACGGAACATGCCCTAGATGCCTATCCGAGCATACCAGGGCACTGCAAGATCTGAATACATGCGAATCCAGGCCTCCGGTTGGAAAGAAACCACGATGAAGGCAGGCAGCCGTGACTTTAACCTTACAATCAGCGGGTTTTGCCAAATGAGCCAACGGTTCCTCCGGTAGTCCTAGCCCGAGCACCACACTCCCATACGACCAATGGTAGGGATCAGCGCCTTAGTGCTGGTTCTGGTACTGTTGTGTACCATACAGCTCTCACGCTGTGCTGAGGACACTGCCCTCTGCATGAAGTCAAAAGGCCTGTGGCTGAAAATGTATGACGTCTGCACAGCCGAAACTTGAAAAGGTGGTCAATCATGGCAGCGAGACGGGGAGAAGTCAACATCAGTTCCTCCTCGCATCTCCACCTGCACGTGAAGCTACAACTTGTTTGAATAGCTTGTCAATTGCCAGGCTTCGCCCCTTGCCACGTCACAACCCGTCGCCCTCCCAATGACTCTTCCTCACTGTTTCTGAGACGAAAGCATCCTCGGCTCAGACTGGAGGTCGGCCTCGGAGGTTCCACCAGCAAAGGCCAGTGGCATGAGGGCCGCCTGGCAAAAATCACGCATCGATGGCCCAAAACCATGCTGAGATCAAGCAACTGTCTCTGTCCACCTGTACCGTCAAGGTAATGGCACCAGCAGTCTTCGGGTTGGTGGAGAAGCTTCCCTGCACGGCATGCCACGATCACAAATGCAGTCGAAGCCTGCCTGAGCCAGGAACCACTGTCCGGGGGAGAGATGGGGAGGAGCATGGGCGAGCCTGCTTCGTCTTCTTGGGCTCAAAGGTCACTTCGCAGGAGCCGACCTGCTCCCACCAAGCCAACGGCGCTGCACAGCACTGCGCCGAGGACCCCCAGGACCTTGTCACCCTGCAAAGACGCCGAAGTCAAGTCCCGCACCTCTGGGAGGCGCTGTGAACTCAGCTCTCAACAGAACCGAAGACCGGCGTGCTGAGGCTCGGACTAGTTTGAAGGATTCCAAATGTTGGGCTGCGAGCCCCGGCGTCTTTCGGCCAGCTCGAATCTTGGTGATGCGCACCTTGAGCGCCAGGCTGAGGTCATGTCTTGGAGTCTTGGACTGCCATGGCGGTCCCAAAAGGCTGCCAAAACGATGTACGGAGGATTTCCGCGCTAGAACTTAAACCCGACCAAACGCCCTTCACTCTTGCACTGAATTATTGCTGTCTGTGTGTGTGTGTGTGCGGGTGTTTACTCATTCATTTCTGTCGCCAACACTCATGTTCATGCAGCACTGCATGTGATGCTCACGTCAGCGAGTAGACTCAAATCGCGAGGAGCGGCCGGATACCCCAGGATGGCTGCCTGAGTAGCTGGGTGCGTGAAGTTCGTAAGCAGCAAAGAAAGAGACAGAACAACACGCGTTTTGCAGAACTCTGCAGCCGAAGCGAGGGAGACTCTGAAAGACCTGCCAATAGCCGTGACCCGGCTCTCTGTCCAAGTTGCGTAGCCCAGCGAATTCCGCAGGATTTGTCCTCCGCCCTCCAGCACCGAGCCGTCAACCTGTCGGAGACCCTAAACCAAGCCTGGTATGCATCTGCTGACTGACTCTCTATGACTGATTTACCGACCGACCGAGTCTGCCGGCGAACACATGGCCTCAAAAAGCGATGTTGTAGCTCCCGCAGTCCTAGCAGCAGTCAGCCCAAAGAGATCATGACACTAGCGATGCAACAAAAAACTACAAGCGTCGGGCTTATCTCACATCAGTCGGCGAAAATACACATCGCCCCAGTGTGGACGCTGTTTCCAGGAATTCCACATCAGCGGCGAGAAT